ATTAGGCAACATAAATGTCTGTCCCTCACTTGAAACAACCACAAACCACTTAAAAAAAAAAAGGTAGATACTGTTTGTATCAATTGTGCAACTAATTCAATTACAAGAGCCCATACACATACTGAATCTGGGGCTTTACCTGCGGCTGGGGTTAGGGTTACAGGCCACGAGCTGCAACTATTTTTATTAGAAGTTAATATTATAGAGCATTCACTTGATCAATAAACCACGTATTCAATTTACAAAGGGCCAACTGCTCCTTTGCAGAGAAATGACAAGTTGTATGACAAAAAAAAAGTAGCATGAAAAGACAAAGGAAGTATTAACTCTTGCCCTGCATGGCATCTTTGAAATAACCACCACATTTAAAAGAGCTCTTAGTTAACTGATTACTCGACCGCCAAACCTGCAGTCAGTTCACTTGCATGCATTGTGTGCAACAGCGCAGTGCTGTGGGAAACGATGGCGATCATGAGAAAAAGAAGAAGAATGTCCCACGTCAGGCCTGTTTCATCCCACAGAGACAGACGGAGAGCTGGAGAGAGTCAAACACTGTGAAACAGCGCGGGCAGGCAGACAGACAGACAGAGAGTGAATGTAAACGTGTCAACATCTGCAACTCATCAATGTGATCCGCTGCTTTTCCTGAAATCGCAGCCGCACACGCACACGCGCACATACACACACACACACACACACACACACACAAACACACACACAGGCGTCCGGGCTGGCTGCACACCCACGCGCAGCTTTCTAATCATGAATAAAGCATCGGAAACGTTCGAAAACACTGCGAGACGGCGAGCCTGTGCGGTCACCGACAAACAGCTCGGCTATGTATGAAGCGACGTCAGGGGAGGTGAGGCAGGGAGGAGAGGAGAGGAGAGGAGAGGGGGAGGAAGGAGAGAGGCTGAACCCAGCGCGCATCTGGACCGGGCGTTTATTCCTGCTCATCCAGATGCGCAAAGGCGCTGGAGGCTATTTTAGGACATGCTGCAAAGAAGGAGCAAAATAAGCGTCGCGTCTCACCCATTTATGTCTCCCGATGTGCTATTAGTGCTCCTGCAGGCTGGTTGGTAACGGGGGGAAAGGTGGTTGCCTCAGGTATATAGAGGGGGTTTGTACCGGACCGAGCTCCAGCCTCCTGCTCGTACTAGAGATCCGCTACAGCAGCGCTGAAACGGGAGGAGCGTCAGATGAAACCATATTCCTTCCTCTTTTTTTTTTTGTCTCCGGTGACACGACAGAGGAGGCAGAGCGAGTGGCCAGAAAACGGAAAAAGCGCTGATGAACAAATATCTCTCTCTCTCTCTCTCTCTCTCTCTCTCTCTGCTGCCTTCAGGTGCACTGCGTAAAGTCAGACTTCCCAACTCGCATTTTCATCAGATGCAGATAGGGGAATGATGTGACGCAATTTGTTGCACCATGCATGATGCACAGATGGTGGTGACACAATTACTCTGTGTTAAGGGACAGCAGGGTTTAATACTGAAGATGAGCCCTTTTATAATGGACAAATGTTATTTCTCCAAACAAATATTATTTTTTATTTAATTATCATTTCATTTCATTATTCAATGTAAAATTATTTCCAAGAAATTCATATTCAATTTTAATACTATAAAAACATGTTCTTCTTAAATAAAAAACTTCGTTGTTTTTTTTTTTTTTTTTTTACAATATTCTGTCAAATAAACTCCAGCACATTTTACATTTTATGAACTTTACCACTGACTGCAAAACTTCACAACCTAATTCACTTTTCAGCCTTCTTCAGTGGTGCAGTGGTTTATTTTAGAGGGTGTACTACGGGTTTATTACCTGTGGTAAAATGTCTTTTCAGTAACAGTGGGTGCTGAAGTCAGTGCAGTGTCTCATCTCCAGTTAGCGGACTTTCTGTTACTGGTAGAGTTTATCATAACTTTGTATGAACCCAGGTAATGTTGTGGTTTTTTGCATCACAGTGACCAACTAACTGCTGTACATTTCGACCCACAGCCGAGCTCTCTGTCGCTTTTAGCGGTTTTCACTCATTTCAACTCAACAGTTGTTTACATGCTAGTCAGCTAAGCTAGTCGCTAGCTTAACAGTTAGCGCTAGCTTCTCCCTCTCTCTCTCTTTAGCTCGGTGTGCCTTGGATCAACAGGTGAACTCATTCATCAGAGTGCAGGGTTGTTGTAACTTCAGTGTAGAGGATATGTTGATATTTATTAAAACTTCAGCAATGTCTGCCGTCTTACCTTCGACATATGGCTATGCTCCTAACCAGAACTGCTCTTGTCTGTGACCCTCTGTGTACACAGCAAGCTTCCGCCTTGATAGGCTATTACTCGTGACGTGTAACCAATCAGATCACTGCTGTGGGACGGGACACCGCGATACACGTTTGTTGAGTTTACTGTCAGACCTCCCATCCCGTTTTTTACATTAAAAAACCTGAGGAATTGCAAGTTCTGTCACAAAACTATGTTGTTACGTATCCATTGGCATTTTTAAATGGTTATAGAAAATTCTGGAGCTTTCTTAGTGGGTATACAGCGTATACCTGTGTATTACGTAGACCACTGGCCTATCATACTTATATAAAAAAGAAATAATGTGATTGTGATTATTTGCATGTCCAATCTCCGTTTTTGTCTTGGTTCCACTGGTTGTTATGAGAAATGGTAGTGCCTGGTTATATGCTACACACTGTGCTGCAAGTCTTCAGTACAAACTGTGTATTAGCCTAATGTTTTATATTGGAATTCAGTGTGAATTTGAATTTATTTATCATTGACTTATGTAATGAATTCATATCAAAGTTGTGTGATTTTTTTTGTGTGTACATTGTTTCTTTTGCTCTCTGTCGTTAAGTAAATACGAAAATCTAGTATCACCAACTTCTGTCACTTTTTTCAGGTTTGTTCATGCTCGATTCATCAAAAATATCAAGATTTCCAACAGCCTCTGAAGGCAGCATGTGCCTGAGCTCAAAACCCTCGCACCTGTGCTGCCCAAATCTCGCGATAGCTAACTTTAATAAATGCAGAAGAATTACAGAAGCTTATATTGACATGATGTGAATTTGACTAACTGATATGTTTTACTGTGTTATCAGTGCCATTTGATGGTTTAATCGTTTAAATACTAAAGATTTAGATGTACAGAATTCATATATAAACACAAACAGAAACACACACACTCTCTCTCTGTCTCTCTCTCTCTCTCTCACACACACACACACACACACACACACACACACACACACCATGCTAAGCCCTGCAGTGTTGCTGTCCCCTCTGGATAAAACCACATGCAGACGAGAATGTGCTGGTGGCAGCAGAAAGAGGACGATGAAATGATGCAGCGACAGGGCGGAGAAGGAGATGAGGAATTTAGATTTGTTTTCACAATCAGCTGTCACTTGGGTGGAGTACAGTGTCAGAACAAGCTCCTGTACAGGAAACAAAGAGGATATCTGATATGACACAGTAGAGTACAAATGCAGCATTCACATGACCATGTCTATATTTTTAGACACTTATCAGGTATCTGTGAACTGAATGTGGAAATGATTTTGTGATTAGCACTTTGCAAGTCAATATCTACATATCGTATGAATAACTGATTAATTAGTGTTTTTCATTGTTTAATAATATATTTCTTGCTTAAAAATTGTCAGTATTATGAAAAAAAAACTCTCATCTGTGTGTGAAAGTGTGTAGAAAGCCTCAAATTACCCCTCAAAGTCACTGTCAGCAGGGTGAAGTAACAACATCTCCTATCGCTCCCATCACCTATAACTGTTATTGCTTATGTCAAATTAAGTATGTAAATGTTTCAACCCAAAAAAACATTAGTAACAGTATACTGTTACTAATGTTTTTTTGGGTTGAAACATATGGCAGGGTGAGATCAGATAAGACAAGATAGATCTGCGCTTCACACTTCCTGCCTCTCTATGGTTTAACACATTTGAGTCTTGGGGCTCATATTGGGGAATAGTGTATCCTGGCTTATTGAAACTGTTAGCAATACAGTAAAAGCCTGTCATGAGGGAAAACACTTCAAAAAAAGAAAAAGCCTCTATTTACTGATTTGAGTCACTTTGAGTGAATTAACAGAAATAAAAAATCTAACTTGGATTAATTCAAAGAACTTAAGCCTAACTCAAAAGAAGAACGTTGAAATGAGGAAGTTCACACAAATTCACATTAAGTGTAAACTAAAAGTGAAAAAAAAAAGAGAAGAAGACAAAGTGATATTATGGTGACTGATCACACATCTTCTCTTATAAACCAGGTACCATCTGTGCTGCTGCTGCCTGTGCGGTTTGCTTTAAGAGAGACAAATTGTTTTCTCATCCAGAGATGGAGGTTAATTCTCTCCTGAGATGAGAAGTAATTTTAACACAAAGCACTAAGGTGACACCGTCTGGGACAGTGTTGCTATTACAGGGTATGCTGAGTCTCTATTAAATCTCGCCACCTACTGTACATGTGGGAACACACACCACAAACACACACACACAAAGTGAGGAGTCTCAATGGTGCAGATGCTATTTCCAGCACCTTCATCCCACTCTTGCTCACATTGGTTGCTTGATGGCATCTGCAATAATGCGTTCAAGTCAAGCTAAATTCATTCGCAGGGGTGTCTGGAAATTATTGCAGTGCAGCTGCAGCTTAAGATGCTCGAACAATAGTTTTTATTTGTTTAACTCAATAAGCAGATTTGATGCATTGAAAATTTCATTATATGTTTCAGGTGTCAAATGTAACGAGATAAGTACAACTTTGAATTTAGTTTTGAAGTGTAAAGTGGCATAAAGTGGAAATAGTCGAGTAGAAATACCTCAGTATGAATTTTTTAGGTGGGGGGTCAGTAATGTTTGTCTCGGGCCCCTAAATGACCAAATCCGTCCATGCACGGGCACGTGACTGATTATGACATCACGGATGGCGGATGTGCTTCACTCGTAAATGAAAAGGGCACACTAAATGTGCACCAGACAGAGACCGGCTCTGCAATAAAGGTGAGTAAACCGTCATTTACCACGCAGTTATTAATTTAAATCTTAAAATTATCAGCTTGTTGTTTCTCTTATTTGCCCTTCACGTTAGTTTTCCTTCCGGTCACAGCAGAGCAGACATGAAGGAGAAACGCTTTGCCCACTAGCTTAACCACTAATGATGCAGCTAACCAGCCGTTTTCTGCTTCCCTGTAAGTTACAGGCTGGAACATGCACGTCCGCCTTTTTTCGCTTAAAAAAAACCACATTGTACTTAATTTAAAGACAGAATATTGGACTGTTTGTTCCAATGTGAAATTGCTGTTTATGCTTCGTCAGGTTTGAGTGAGCATGGAGGTTTATTCGCACCCAAAAATACGAAATTCTCAAGTAAAATTCAAAAGTAAAATCTGGTCAGACAGGTAAAAGCTCTCCAAATGTCAAAAAGTCAGAAAGTCTCCTACCTGTGTTGTCATGCGGAGTTAGGACATGATGCAGTGTCATGGAGGCCAACCACTCCCTAACGGTTTCTTTAGCCCCATTTATTTATATTTTAATTTAAACATTTGTAAGTGATGCTCATAAATAAATGATAGGTACTAAATAGGTCTACACTTGATATAGATTTTATTTATTTATTTTTCTAATGAATAATATGACTCGCCCACATGATAAATAATAAGATTAATAACACAGCTTGACTGGTAAAGATTTTTTCTAAATGTAAGCTTAAAATAAATATTTTAATGAAGATTCCTTATATGTGCTTAATAAAGAGCTGTGTCTGTTAACATGATTAGCTAATTAATCACTTAGTCTACTAGCAGCTATTGTGATAATCAAATAAATGTTTAAGGTATTATTCTTTGCAAAATGCCAGAAGTTCACAGGTACCGGCTTCTCAAATGTGAATATTTGATAGTTTTTATAATGGTGAATTTTGGGTTTTTGACTGAGTAATTTGTTTATGCTATATTCAGCTATAGGAAATAGTGATAAGGCATTTTTCAATATTTTCTAACATTTTATTTTAAAAATAAATTAATTAATAAAAATAGTTATTATAACCTGTGCTAAAAAAATAATTAATAATTTTGTGATTATCCTGCGATCATCATCTTTGCTTTTAATTTTCACTGAAAAAAAATAAAATGATGATGTAATTTATGCTGGCGTAAGAAAAAAGTTGCAGCTCCTGTGATTTGGATATACACTTGGCCATATTGTGATTTTGATAATATTTCGATCAATTGTTCAGCCCTAGTTGCATCCCTAAATTATTCTAGTAATTAACAGTTTAAGTCATTTCTTTAAATCACAGTCTCCAAACAGACCCTGGTTTCAGTTTCTGAAATGTGAAAATATCGCCCCATAAAGGAAATTTCTTGTTACTTGTAGACCAGGTGCATCTGTCTGGCTGTAATTAGCAAAATCACGACAAGAGGGTTTTTGTATCCTGTGCAGCAAGACAAAAAACTCAAGAGAGGCATAGCATGACTGAGCTTTTCAGCCATGCTCAGTCAGAGCTGAGTTTCTTGTTCCAGAAATGGAGATCTCTTTTACTGAGACAACAGTCTCTGTAATTATCTTCAAATATTACACAGTCATCCTCAGCTCAGCATAAAATCTATACACTTCCCGTCTTCATAACACTGCGACTCTGTGGAGATTCGGTGTCAGGTTCGGTTCCCTTGCACCGAAACATTTACTATATTACTCACTGTAGACATGTGAGACACTGATCTATGAATAAGCATTTCTTATGTTGTGATTGGTCGAACTGATGGAACATACATCGTCATACGTCTACACGTCTATACATACGTCTCGTATCCAAGATTATGTGGATATTTCTGGGTGGGGATGATTGTAGTGCAGCTGAAAAGATTTTAAAAAAGGTCGCCTCACTGAGCACTTTATTAGGAACACTGCTCTAATACTGGGTAGTTCCTCCATTTGCTGTCAAAACAGCTTCATTTCCTCGTGTCATAGATTCCACAAGATGTTTGAAACTTCCCTTTGAGTCTCTGCTCTTTTTCGACATAATTGTATCACATCGTGTCGACACATTTGTCAGCTGCACATTCATGCTGTCAATCTCCTATTCTACTTCATCCCAAAGGTGTTCAACTGGATCCAGATCTGGTGACTGTGGAGGCCATTAAAGTACACAGAAACCAGTCTGAGCTCGGTGAGTGTTAAAATGTACTACTTGCTGAACTATAACATGATAAATAATATAGAAAATATGCTGTTGAGGAAGATTTTTAAATGTAAAATAGACGTCTGGAAGTTCACTCAGTCGCACTACCGGTTACAATCATGTCTATAAATAATTTTAATCTTTGCTGCACTGAATAAAATGTAATAGTGTCAACGCATCGGCTCTTTTCTCCACTCCGACTCGAGTTCTTGTCACTGCAGCTGATGGTTTTTAAAGATAAATGTGTATTGTCGCATATTTTAAGCTTCACAGGATTAAAATGTGGAGGCTCTGCTCCGTATTTACCCGTTGCCATGGTGCAATCATAGTATCCGAGCTCCAGTTTCACGTCTCAGGTTTCGGGGCTTAAGTTCAGAGTTTGTTAAACCTGCTTTCTGGAACCCCCCTGGTGTAATACTGCTGTTTTTGAATCACTGTTATCAGTTATGAGGGCGGAAACTGCCTGAAACTGAACTTCATGAGTTACAGTCAACACAGGACAAAAAAAAAAAAAAAAAACGTGTGCAATTTTCAGGATATTTTCATTAATAAATAATTGCATGAAATCTGGACACTCTGAATATTTATATTATCTCTTAGGGAAAGAGGAATCAATAGCTGTTTCCTGCTGCATGTCAGGAATAAGGATGTGTTCTGATTAACTAGAAGGCTTAGTGTGTAGTTACATCAGTCACGTTAAGCACAAGGTAGAAGACGTACTGTACGATAGAGGACAAGGAATGTAGGTTTTCAGTCGAAGCACACTTTTGCATTTGTGTTTATGAATGAAACAAAGTATTATTGTCAGGTGGCAACAACACCTCAGGGTCATGTTTACCAGGTTAACAAGGTGTGTTTCATCTTTAAATAGGCACGAGTACAACTTAGTGATGATTCACTATCGTTTATTGATTATTTAACCAGACAAGCCTAAAAACAATGTAGCCAGAATACAAAGCTTCCTGTTCTTCAACTCCTGGTCTCTTTTTGAAAGATACAGAGGCACCAACATGGTAGAAGCTGTTGCAGGTATATGTGGCTCTGGCAAGGGTCCCCCCCTTCCCCCGGATATTACTCAGGGATCAAGTTGCTGAGATTATGACACATCTCATCCTTTTGATTGATTTAGTTGTCAAGAGATGCCCTAAACATATGTATGCTGTGTGCTGTTGGAAATACCCTGAACGTTGACGTGTGATTCCATTACACTCGCTTGCAAAAACATATTTAAATAGTTTCTTCTAGATGTTACACATAATACAACACAATAACACAATCTACTATGTATATGTTTATAAAATGTAAAAAAAAAAAAACAGTAAGTGCTTGGAAAATGATTAATCAATGATCAAAGACTTTCCCGATTATTTTTCTTCTCAAATCAATGGAGAAGTTGATGATGGATAAAATAATAATAAAGGAAAGTTTTGTCATATTCAGGGAATGTAATACCTCACAAATCAAAGTTCATTCATTAATGGAAGCAAAAAACTTACAATATAACTTATAATATCATCAACATCTCAGTCCTGTTGGTCCAGTCCTGTTACTTGTTGACATACAGTACAGTGTGTATAAAATAGAGATTTTAATGCCGTTGCTCCAGTTTAGGTTTCAGCCTCAGGAAATCGGCCTGTTTACAGAGAAAACAGTCTCCACCCTCAGAGTTTACAGAAAGCAGCTCTGTTCAAAACCTGAACCACCACACGTCACCACTCCTCCTCCTCCTCCTCCTCCACCTCCTCCTCTTCCTCCTCTTCCTTCCCTCTCAAAGTTCAACATTGAAAGTTAACCTTATTATCTATGCTGCGACATTTCATGCAGGAAAAATGTGTGAATGAATAACAAACTGCTCTGTCTCTCTTTCTCTTTCCTTTCCTCGTCCGTAGGTTGATAACTGCAGCAGCAATGGATCGACTGAGGTCTGCCTTTAACAACATGGTGAGTGTTTGTTGTTTACGTGGAGAGTTTACGTGCTGTTTGTTTTGTGATTGAGCAGCTGGAGTAGACGGTGTAATGTCTTGCTCCATTTCTCAGTGGCTGAAATTAAAAACTATCTTTTAAAGATAAACTGGTCCTCTGTGAGAACTTGGCTGCGTCACGCTCTCCTGTAGCTGCTATCAGAGGCACATTGCTCTCATAGTTTTCTCCTTTATCTTCACCTCTGTTTTTCCTCACTCCAGATTAAAAGCGAGCAGTACAGCCGCTTCACCCTGCAGCCGGCGGAGGACGGAGAAAGGCACGTTGAGGTCAAACTGTCCGACGACGCCACAGATGACACCACGGAGGTCGAGGGCCAGGCGGGGGGCTCCCCGAGCTTCAGGCCAGTTCCTCTGCGTCAGGGCCGGCATAACATTTGCTACCTGGCCCTGGGAGCCCTGCTGATATTTGTTACTGGTAGGTCACGCCTACTGTCGTCTTTTTAAGTGTGTTGCTATGCCAACCAAACATGATTTCGGGGCTGCAACTAACAATTATCTTTATTTTTGTGACCAATTTGTCAGTTATTTTCTTGGTTAAGTGATTTAATTGTTTAGTGGATGACGTCTTGTTTTGTTCAACCAACAGTCCAACCAACATTTAGAAATGGATGCCAGTGTTTTTTTTATTTATTTTTATCTATTTTGGCATTTTCACCTTTTTAAAAAAATTACTTAAATAATGAATCACTTGATGAAATTGTTGCTGGGTAAATCAACAATTCGTCAGATCAGCTGATGGACTCCTCCATTACTTAAATCTCTTGTCACTTATTGCCCTTTATGAGCACCAATAAGCTCATATCTGCAATTAGCTTAAATCAGCTGATACAACTGGCCCACAGATGTATTGTGTACCTGCCCACACAAGTGTCCCGGCGCCCTCCCGTCATGTTGTCTCTCCTGGGAAACTCATGTAACTTTCACGGTTGTCTGACGTTATCCAAGTTGCCAGACACACAATCTACACACACACATGTACATCATCAACCCATCTGTTACCACAGTCTGGCAACCCACAACCCCATTCAAGGGGTGTACGCAGCTGCATCTGTATTTTGAAACTTAAATGTGTCGGCAGGTGTGGTATCGCTCAGGCTGTATTTTAAAACAGTGTCGGTGTGTCTTTAAGGTTACATGGTTGGTTTCATCAGCCACCGTAAACCTCGAGTGGAGCCTCCAGTGAACCAGGAACCTGAGATCGAGACGTCGCCGCCTGCTTCCGCACCAGCTCCAGACCCACAGCTGAACTGGCAGGACCTTACCCAGCTCCTCACTCAGAAACTCACCAGCGAGGCCTTTGATAAGACTCTGAGGTAAAGTTTTAACGTGCACGCCCCTCAAACCACACTCAGCTTAATGTCATTATGCTGAAGGGTGCAGCCAGAAACTAACACACCTTACCAAGCAAACAGCCAACAATCAAACAAACCTGGAGCTGAATTCTCAACTAATAATAAGAAAATGATCCCAGGTTAAAAAACACAATTAAAATAGTCTCTCAAAGTAAATCCTCCTTTACCAGCCAGGTATAATTGAGTCTTAATAGCCTTCAGCTTCCTGTGAGAGCGAAGGGAATAATAAATGTGAATAAGCTGGATGAGAAGAACATTTTATTTTTAGAGTATTACACTGCACAAAGGCAGAGAATACAAATGAGACAGAGGAAGGTTACAACAATGTGGATTATGTAAGGGATAACATCCGACAAGTTTCATGACTGTAATGGATGACCCTCAGGCAAAGAGCCAGCCAGCAGCTAATCTCTCCTCCTCCTCCTCCTCTGTTGACTTGAACCTCCAGATTCACACAAATATCAAACACATTTGAAATGCTATTTATTTTTGTTTTTAACGGGTTCATCAAATTAAAAACTAGCTCCAAGCTCTTCGGCAGGATCACAGGCTATTTACAGGAAGTTCGTGTTTGTCTTCAGTTTTGACTTTTCACTTGCATTTGCTGCTACAAATGGAAAGTAAATTTAAATACCACTAAATATACTAATTATGCGAACGCTGGTGCCACCCCTCAACAATAAAACCCAGCACAGTTCAGTGTTCAGTTTGCAGACTGCTGGGTGAAAGGCTGTCATCCCAGTACAACAAACTGGTGATGTTGAATAGAAGCTGTATTTCCTGAAGCCTTGAAAAACCGCTCGGCCTTGTCATTTTGAAAACACTTTCCTTCCAAACCATGTAATGTGTCGCTCATTTCGAAACTCTTTTCTTAGCTTTCTTTCTTTTAAAAGAAAGTATGTTGTGTCTTCTAAGAGCACATGAGGCTGAGTCTGTAGGCCCTTTTCCAGATGTGGTTAAATTTTAAATGAGTCATTTCAGGAGTCTGAAGTGAAACTAAATTTTAGATTTTGTTTCGCAGGGACTTTGATCGGCCCAGCCGTTCCGCAGGAAGTGCAGATGATATGCATCTGGCAAACCTCATCTTTGATGATTTCAAGAAGCTGGAAATGGATCCATGGACTGATATTCACTTCGCTCAGCTGCAGATGCCAAACAGGTTGAAACAACACCTTTTGATAAATGAACTGGTTCTGACCGGCCAGAGCAAAAAAAACAAAACAAAAACACAATAATAAAATTGTAACAAGCTTTTTCTCCTTCTTATTGCCAGCACGCAGCCAAACCGCGTCCTTTTCGAGTCGAATGTCTTCAAGCCCACAGGGTATCTGGCCTACAGTGCTACTGGGGAAGTTCAGGTGGGTCAGTACAGTCGATCAAAAGTTTAAAAAGGTCAACACTTTATCAGAGTTCAGGTAGCATGATATCCTTGTCTCGTCTCTTTGAAGGCCTGATCCTGTCACTGGTTGTGTTTTTAAATGTGCAGGACTTGAAACTGCGCCTTAAATACTCATCATGAACCATCTTGGCCTTCGATCCTGTATTTATGTCTCTGTTCTTAACTTTTAAACTTCCTTTTAATAAATGTTCCCTTTCTTTTAATTAGCACTTAATGTTTTTTATGCAGTTTTAATTGCCTTGTCTGTTGCTAGGATCATTTTTAGCTGTATGTTGAATGTATTGGTATGTTTGACGTGTGTGTGTGTGTGTGTGTGTGTGTGTGTGTGTGTGTGTGTGTGTGTGTGTGTGTGTGTGTGTGTGTGTGTGTGTGTGTGTGTGTTGTGTTGTGGGTGTGTTGTGTGGGTGTGTGTGTGTGTGTGTGTGTGTGTGTGTGTGTGTGTGTGTACGCAGGGCAAGCTGGTGTATGGCAACTATGGTCGTCAGGAGGATCTGGACGTTCTGCAGAAGAAGAGCGTTGAGCTGAAAGGCAGCGTGCTGCTGCTCCGATGTGGAAAGATCAGTTTTGCAGAGATGGTATGTGCTGATTTCATGTCATCACATCAGTTGTATCAGTTTCTTGGTTTCTGGGGAGCTCGATTTCAGCTTCTCTTTGTGTTTCTATTGTTTCGTCAGGTGGATAATGCTGCGACAAAGGGGGCCGCTGCTGTTCTAATCTACCCTGACATTCAGGATTACAAGTATCTAGCAGACACAGCACTGTATGGACACGTAAGTTTGCACACACAAATGTAGAAGCCAATAAACCAAGCAGCCAGTAAAGTCTCATTTAGCACAGAATACCATTGTGTGTTAAGTTTTGTTTTCATGTCGCCTTCAGGTCCATCTGGGTTCAGGCGACCCTTACACGCCGGGATTCCCCTCCTTCAACCACACCCAGTTCCCCCCAACTCAGTCGTCTGGTCTCCCCAAAATCCCAGCCCAGACCATCACCGCCAACATGGCCTCTACTCTCCTAAAGTAAGAGTGCACACACCCGGAGTATAAGACTCAACTTTGGTCACAGCGAGAATAACTTTTCTTAGTATTTCTTTACCATCTGAAAGTTGACTCATTCTGTAGATAAATTTGCTAAACTGGCTAATAATGAAAAAAAATAATAAACGTGAAAACTGGAAAACTGGCCACAGCAGTAAACTGTGTCATTCACCTGCCCGTGTCTCTCTCCTCGTCTCTAGGTCAATCGACGGTCCTGAATCAGACATGAGCAGCGGTTTTAAAGGCGGCTTCACCTCGGTGTCTTACAGACTGGGAGGCAGCAAGAACATCACTGTGGAGGTGAACAACGTGCTGGTCAACAGGGAGCTCCACAATGTGTTTGGAGTCATCAAAGGATTCACTGATCCTGGTAGGACTAAACATTTTTCACTCAGATTAACCACATTAGCATTTTTTATTTTATTTTTTTAAATTTTTTTTTCATTGTACATGTAACGCGTGTTGTGTTGGCGTCTGCAGATCGTTATGTGGTCCTGGGAGCTCAGAGAGACGCCTGGGGTAAAGGTTACACCAGAGCTGCTGTTGGCACCTCCATACTGATGGAACTGGCCAAGGCTTTTCACAATATGGTGGAGAACGGTAAGAAATATTATCCTTCTTCTTCTTCTTGTTCCACACGTCTTCTTTTGAATTTAGTTTAAACTGGATGTTGGATGAAGGGCAAACTGATTTTAGATGACGCCTGATGTTTGTTTGTTTGCCTTCTATTCAGAATAAACCTCTTTTATATTGTCTGTGCGTGTTGTTTTCTTTCAGTTTTAAATTGCACCTATTGTTGGGAGTAGAGAGGCTTGTTTTAGTATCATGGTGTCATGATAACGTGGTAAACTCTTAAGTGATTAAAATCAATAATCTAATTCATGTGAATGTCTTTTTTATTTTTTATTTTTAAAGATGGATTCAGGCCGAGGAGAAGCATTGTGTTTGCAAGTTGGTGTGCTGGAGAGTTTGGAAATGTTGGCGCCACCGAGTGGTTGGAGGTAAGAACCGCAAGGATGCTACTTGGATGAAGACGCACAATAAAAGAAAATATTTTACTGTACTACAAATGTTCTTTAATATCTTTTTTTTTTTTAGGGTTATATGTCGTCTATTGACAGAAGTGTTTTCACCTACATAAACCTGGACGGAGCAGTTATGGGTATGTGCAGTTTACACTCACACAACTCAGACCTGAAATTTTTAAAGGTTTGTCAGTTAACTGAGGATCTTTTTTTCACAAGGTCGAGGAAGCTTCGTGGCCTCAGCCAGTCCGCTGCTCTACAGCCTCATTGAGCGCACGATGAAAGAGGTGACGGCACGCCGCGCCGTGTTCGACACACTTCCTTTACAAACCAGTTGAGTTTTTTTATTGACTGTGATGCGTCTCGTCCACACAGGTGAGGAATCCTGTCGGCGCTGGCACTGTGTACGACATGGTGGGAAAGAGTAACTGGCGGGCCAATGTGTAAGTGGGAAACCAGTTTGTAAATCATCTTATTTTACAGATTTGTTTCTTTTTTTTTTGTTTGTTTTTTCAGTGTCAGTTATTTCCATGATTTTTAAGGAAGAAAGTTTTTATGTTTCTTTTAGTCTTTAGAAAAAAAAACTCCTTAAATACTGTGATTAATCGGAAACTGAAACTATAGAAATCTAGCACTGGGTGTTTTCCAATAATTCATCAATGCTTTCCGATACAGTACTTGAGTTTCTGTACCAATTACAGACACAACCTGTGTTTTCCATAAACAGAAAAAGCTTAATTCTAAAATATAACAGTTGTTTAAACACGGGCAACCACACCAGTACTTTTCCTAGCTGTCAGGTTTTTTGGACAATAACTTTACATTATCGTGGTAACAGACTGAAGCCAATTAAGATGGACGACCCCGCCTATCCCTTCCTGGCCTTCTCTGGAATTCCCTCCATCTCTTTCCACTTCATCTCCCCCAATGTGAGTCTTAATGATATTAATATTATTCTCCAATAAAAAAATGTGGATGTTACCCTCCTCTTTGATGAAAGAATATGATTAGAAATCTGATTTATACTGAAGCTTTTAAATGACAGTACTACAGCTGCTCCTGGATCAGCTCTTTATCTCACCACACTTGACATTTTGATTAGATTATATTGCTCTTATGTGTGTATCTATGTGTGTTTGTGTCCACAGACCGAGTGCTACCCTTACTACGGCACCAGCCTGGACAACATGGATCACCTCGATTACCAAACCAACCATCGCACCGGAGAAATGACGGCGCTGGCGGCGCAGTTTGCCGGGCAGATGGCTCTGCGACTGGTCCACAACCACCTGCTCTTTCTGGATGTGAGCCGCTACAGCAACGTCATCATCCAGGCCGTGTCCAAGGTCAACAAACGCATCAACCAGCTCTCTCAGGTCGATCTCACTCTCTCTCTCTCTCTTTCTCACGCACACGCATTACATATACAGCTCAGAAACATCTATATTGCACATGAAACCAAAGCAGTGCAGTGATTATAAGAAATTTGCCCATGTTAATGTGTATTTGTTTTTTTTTGTTCTGTAGTCTGGTCAGCTGAAGGGCGTGAGTCCCAACTGGCTGAACCGAGCAGGAAACGCCTTCCGCCGAGCCGCTCAGAACATCAACACCTTCATCGACAACACCGACTGCAATGACAAGGAGGCCTGTCGCATCCTCAACGACAGGATCATGAGGGTAAGACTCTGAGGAACCCACAAGTCATTTTTACAAAAAACAGTGACACTAAAAGTATCAGAAATGTGTGTGTATGAACTGATAATAATCTAAAATACACTTTTATTCGATGCAAAGTAATAATTATGAAGTGAAGCCAACTGCTGCTTTACACTTCCTATTCATTGTATGTTTCTCTTTCTCCCCGCCGCTGTCTCCACAAGCTTTCATGACCTAGTTTCTCTCATCACAAATGCATCATGATCTTTTTTCCCTTTTGTCATTCCAGGTTGAGCACTCCCTCCTCTCTCCGTACGTGTCCCCCATTGAGGCTCCTTTCCGCCACCTCCTGCTGGGCCGGGGCTCCCACACGTTGGCGTCCATCGCCGAGATCACCGACATGGAGCAGCTCCACACCCAGCTGGCCCTGGCCACCTGGACCCTGCAGGGGTGTGCCAACGCCTTGGCGGGAGACATCTGGGACATCGACGACGAAATCTAAAAAAGAAAAAAGAAAAGATGCGAGTGTGTGTGTGTGTGTTTGTGTGTGTGTGTGTGTATGGTCGAAATTAAGTTTTGAGGTTATGTAGGAGCTCCAGTATCGGCACTTAAGCACAAGCTGTCAATCAAACGTCTCACCCTTTAAATACAGGCGTATATTCAAGTTTTATTTGTGGGGAACAGAAACTTTGTCCCACAAAGATCCAGAAGGAGAAAAGTTAAAAAAAAAAAAAAAAAATTAACCAGCAACAAATACTTGAAGAAATGAAATGTTTCTGACAAATCGCCTCCTCCTGGCTCCACCCTAACACATCGCACCTGTCCGAGCTTTTTGCTGTGACCTCTTGCCATCAAAACACTGAGAGACCTTATTTATACTTAAGTTTTTTGTTTTTTTTTTATCAGTGGCAATGCCCACTATAAAGATATTGTTTGTCTTTTTATACAACGTTATCGGAAGCAGTGCCTTCCATAATTATGACGGTTATACTGTCTGATCCTACGGCAGCATCTGCTACACAAACAACTCCTCAACTGTTGCTGACAAAATGGAGCCCCCTGGTAAAGTTAGATTTATTTATTTATTTTTCTTCTCTGGCCTTTATTTCTTCCTTGCATGTGCTGAGTGATTACAGTTGGGGATCAAAATAGTAATTTTGTTTTTAAATTACTTCTTGGGACACATCTGTGGTGCTTCACTCAGTCATCAGAACAGGTGGTAAAACGTAAAGAGGGAGAAATTAAGGGCAGAAAGAGGTTTTTTTTTTTTTTTTTTGATTTAGCGTCAGATACTATTTTGATTTGTTTGAACCAGGAGCAAAAACAAACGGTTACAACACATTTTTATTTATATATCGCAAACCCAGAGATAAGTTAAGTGTTTAACTTGCAGGATAAATGCTAAATTTAAATATAAAAAATAAGCCATTGAAAATCTGACAATGATGTTATCAAACCCCCCCCCCTCCCCTCTTTTTACTGAAATGAACAACTGAGCTGATCAGTTACATCATTTGCAAGAAAAGCCATTTATGTTGCACAGTCTACTTTGGAGCACTTAATAAGGTGATAAAGTTATCGGGAGCAGTGCCTTCCATAATTAAAACACATTATCGGAAGCAGTGTCTTCCATAATGACAAACAGTGATGGTAGTTTTTGCCTACCAGTGTGTGTGTGTGTGTGTGTGTGTGTGTGTGTGTGTGTGTGTGTGTGTGTGTGTGTGTTTTACAGTGCATGTGTATTTATCGGGAGCAGTGTCTCTCATATTTCACTTGAAGGGTGGAACAACTTATCGGGGACAGTGTTTCCCAGAGTTTTATACTTGACATATTTATTTGTTTTGTCTTTATTTCTGGATTGTGTGTGTTTGTGTGTGTGTGTGTGTGTGTGTGTGTTTGTTTGTGTGTCAGTCCTCCTGACTTCCAGAGTGCGTTTCTTCTGAGTTTTTTTTTTTTTTCTTGTTTTTGCTTGTGCTTATATTTCTGATCCATACTACAGTCTTAACACAACAGAATCTGATCAGCCCCACTCCCGCAGGATTAACATTACAGAGAGAGCTGGAAATATTCACTGTGCTCTCTGTGTAATCTCACTCATTGTTCCTGACGGCAGTTTAACCAACTGAAAATAAAAAAAATGGTCTGTAATAGACATGAACATACAGCAGGACAAATACAAAAGCCTCCACAGGGGGGCGCGGAAGAGCTGAAGGGGAGGCAAAGATACTCTGTAAATCAAAAATCATTCTCCTTGTGATCTTAACTCAGTCAAATCTTAACACACATTGACATTGTTCAGTGTGACCTAATTATCCAGAGGAAATCTTTATCTCCAGTGTCCATCGCCAATAAATGATCCATGAATGCTCTCGCAGCATCATAGAGGAAAGACGACTCAGAACTGTCTGTGCGTTCGCTGGTACGTTTCAAACGGGAACATCTCATGGTTAATTTGGCATACTTCTTTAACAGCACCAGTTTTCTAAAACCCAAAACGATATAAAACGGGGCTCAAAAGAGAAAAGCAGGACTTATTACACCAGGCCCTTCTCTCAGCTTGCTGCCTGATAGTTTGTTTTTTTAAGTCGTCATATTGGTTTCCAAATAGGCCTGTATGTTGGTGTTGGCATGTTTCCGTTCATCAGATTACCAGAAAACATCTTTGATTTGGTCCATTTTTAAGACAAATTTCAGATGCACTCCAGATGGGGCTTTAGATTTCTGTTCTGTTTCGCAGTCAAGCAGCTCAATACGCAAACACACAGAAGAATATTTAAATGTAGGGTGCACATTATGGTTTAACCTGACACGTCAACCTAGTTACCTTCAAACCTACTTTGTGTTTCTTCGGATGAATGACCGCAGATGCTGTTCTACATAATGAATCCACTCTAAAGTCACAACTCTCTCTGCATGTGTTTCAGTGCCATATTTCCACTTAACTGCATGTTACTTGTGTTGTTTTACTGAGGTGTAGCTCAACAGACCCGGACCATGTTACAAACATTTGAAATCTTCAAATTAAGGTTCAACCAATATGTTTCCGTTTTCACAGATACAAAACAATGTTCTTGCATCTAGCTGCTGATTTTTAAAAGTTAGATAATCTGTGTGTGTGTGTCCCCCCCCAGAATTGTATTGTCAGGCCTCTCAAAAGGCTTTAACAGGAACATAACAGCATAAATTAAACATAAAACCTATAACTGATATTCAAAAAAGGTTGATGTTACCACAGGTTTAACTTCAGCTAGGAACCTGGTATCTGTCATCAAACCCATTGAAACACCAACACGAACTACATTTAAAAGCTGCTTTCTTTTTTAAAATGGTCATGTTTCATCAGTCGTTGCCCCGTGTCGGTTCTATTGAGCTTGTTTGTTTCACTTTCCTGCGTCTGTTACTAAAGTTGAAAAAAGAAAATTTCTGAATCCTGAGGTGGAAATAGGGAACCTAGAAAATTGATTTCCCACGCACTGTGTTGCTAAAACTGTAACTGTAGCGTATCAAAAGCTGTTCAGTGTGATTTCTGTACTTGAGAAGTTTTTTGAAATAATGTTTCTGTGGTTTTCATGTTTGGCAGAAAAGAGTAATAAATCCTCTGGCTTAGCATCCAGTATGTGTCAGTTCCTAGTTTTTTATCACAGTAAAGAACAAAAATTCACTTCATCAGCTGTGTAGGATGTTTAGTCTGCTCTCTCTTTCTCTGCTTTTCAGATTTAAAAGCACTATTTTCACTGCCCGCGCTAAGCCATTTACCAAGTAAAAACAAATGGAAGTACAACAGGTGAAATTTGTGGTTTTCATTTCTCTTAGTCTTAGTCCACAAATACTACTAATGCTGCTTTACTGATATCATACGTGCATATATGTTTAAAATAGGAAAAATGACAACATTAGGGCCTTAACATTAGAAACAAAAAAATATTGTACAGAGCTCTTTTTGTCATAGTAAACTGAATATCTTCGGATTTCTCATTATTGGTCAGGCAAAATGTGATTTTATTTTTTTTCCTATTTGAATTTGAAAATCTTTTGTTGCAGCATGAATATTGTGTTTCTATTGCTAATTATTCCTTTAAATTAGATGGTATTCAATTAAAATATCTATATATTAAAAGAAAAAGAAAGCTTAAATAAAATGGAACTGCAAACTAAGAATTAGATTGAAATTAAAATTTAAAAGTAGGATTTTATTACGGGCTACTTGTTGCTAATTAGACGCAGATCGCCTTGAACCTACGCTTTTATTTTGAAGCCTGATTCTGCAAAACAGGAAGCGCCTCAGTCAGAGCCAGCGTTAACCGAAGCGCTCTCCAGTGTTTGCGTGCTGAGATTACGCACGGTGACGCTCAGAAATTCCGGCAAGCGCACCGAGGAGCGTCCCGGAATTAACGGAGCGGAGAGAGAGAGAGAGAGAGAGAGAGATAACGGATCCGGTGAATTTACGTGATTCCAGGATAAACAGCGCGACTTCCCGCCGGGGTTCAACAGCTGAGAGCGGCGTAGGGAGCGAGGACCGACCGGAGGAAGGGAGTGTTTTCCTCCCACAAAGCCCGTCTTCATAGGTCGGTAAACCAGCGTTATCTTCTCTGGAGCCTCTGTTAATGCTTCTGTCTTTAAGATTCGACACGTTACACACCGAAACACAATGTTATAAATAAGTAAAGTTTAAACTCTTGTAGGGAAAACAAAGCCGAAACGTGGAGATGTTTCCTGTGACAGACAGGCAGGTGTCCACCTAACGTGACTGAGGCAGGCTAATCAGCTTTAGGCTGAGTGCGTGTGTGTGTGTATGCGTGAAGCAGCAGCCTGATCAATTAAATCTGTTCAATCGAGAAACAGCATCTCTTTACATCCACCCTCCCTTGGTCCTCTCTCTCTCTCTGTCCCTCTGGTTCCCTCTCTCCCCCCGTGTCTGTCCTCATTTGACAGGAACTTAGTTTATATTCATCAACATTCAACATGTTCAACATCCCTGCAGATGCACACGTGCACTGGGCCTTTATTACACTGTATTTCAGTGCACTAATGTAAATGCATATCTACTATTTTAAACAAAAATAAATCAAATTATTATCTGAAGTTTTCATTTTACAACATTAAGGCACTTTAGATTTAATGCCAAAGCTTTCTGCACATCACCAGAAGAGAAACTGTTGTATGGATTTACTGAATCCTGCTGAGCAAAGTTCTGAAAGATGATTTTTTCTTTTTATCTTGTAAGCAAAATATAAAAAGTTGTATGCACATGAATTAAAGAAATATCTGGTGATGTGTCTTCAATAATAAGTTGTATTTTGACTTTGATGAAGACACAGTCGTCTCCAAATTTGGAAAAGATGCACATCAGTCTGTGCTCTCTGGTCACGCCACGTCAAAGCAAGTCAATTTTATTTATATGTCCAAATGTCACAAATCATACATTTGCCTCAAGGGGTTTTACCATCTGTACAACACCCTCTGTCCTTAAAGATGTGATTCAGAAAAGGAAAAACTGCAGGAAGAGCAACAGACGAGAGATTTGAGGCTGCGAGAAAACAAAAGAAATTATTAGAAAACATCACTTCACTTTGATTGATTGCTACTTATAATCACAGAGGGAGAAACATACAACAGTTTGATGCTGGTGAGTTTGTTTCTGTCGGACATGGTTAACAGCAGAGTACAGGGAACAGTTTGAATGATGCTTTTGTTCAGCAACAATAGG